CCCTTTTATTGAATTACAAAATGTTAATAATGATTTCTTTAATAGATTAATCATCATTTTTGAATGTATTAATATAATCAGGTCTTTCATAAAAAGGACAATCATATCCTACAAAATGTATTGTATAATTAAGTTTTTGTGGTAATATTGTAATTTATGATTATCTATCTGTTATATTTAATATAATTCTATCAGAATTTAAATAATTATGTTAAATATTTAATTCTTTGAGTTATTTGTATTTCATTAAAATATCTAAACATAATTGAATATTTTAAGCAATACTTAATCGTATAAATTCAATTTCCTATATAATATATAAATGTGGTTACTTATAAATAAAGTAATAAACTTAATTTGATTTACATTGAATTATCAATTGTATATTCAATAATCTTTTAATACTCATTTAATTTGAGATTCTAATATCCATCACATTCTAATATTCTTCTCATTTCTTCATTTGATTTTTAGTAACTATAAGTTTATGTGCTTTTATAATTTAAACCTTGCATTATAGAATTTACAAAATTTTATATTATTTTATAATATCTTGAACTTCTAAATATTCTCTATATTAAAATACAATACATAATTTATTATTATAATATATTTATTAAAATTCAATAATTTCATTAAAAATCAAAATATTTCTTCAAGCATTTTAATGAAATTTAATTCGATTTATTATTTAACATTTTCTTCTACTATTTATTTTAATATTTTTAATTTTTAAGATTCAATTTATTTAACAAGCTGTTCATTACTTTTAATTTAAAATTTAACATTATTAAAAAAATAATTCAATAATTCTGATCTATTGTGTACTTATGAGATAGTTTTTTATAAAATAATCTATCTATCCATATCAAATTTGTATTTGATTTTCGCTATTTAAAATGATTGATCTATTAAGTTATTAATATCTTCTTAATTGAGGCATCCAATTACAAATTATAGATTTATAAAGTTAGTTATTTGAGCTTGATTTTAAAATTTGTAAATATAAGATTATTTAAGTTCTTTTACAATTAGTGGAATGGTTTCGAGTAAAAGATATTCAAATTTGAACCATTTCAGATTCGAATAAGAAGTTTATATAAGCTTTATAATATTTTCAGTCACTTTTTTTGATCTAAGATTTCTCCAAAATATTTTCTCATCAAATCTTAAATCGATATTTTCTAATAGTTATTGCTAATTATTTTAATTCCCAAATTATTAAAATACATGATTAGAATTTTGAATGAACTAATCGAGCGATCTGCAAATTCCATCATTATATATTTTTTAATAGATCCCTTCTTCAATTTAGAGCCTTTATAATTTTTATGATGATTTTTCACTACCATCTGAGTATTTCAACTGAATTTTTTGTTATTTTTATCGAAACTATTTTTTGGCTGTCTATATAATATGTGTAATAATTTCTATAACTGATTATTCATCGTTTTTCTTAAAAGATTCATAATTTTCCAATTCATAAAAAGGACAGTCATAACCTGTAAAATGTATTGAATATTATAATTATTTAGGCAATATACTAAAAGCATATGATTCATTTTGAACTGTTAAATATATTCGATCTAAACTTAAATAATTATGCTCAATTTAGAGATCTTTAAGATTTATGTACTTTTTATAAATATCGATACCTAATTAAATCATTTATGCAAGAGAAAATTTCAAATATTCCAATTCCTAAAATATTGAAAATTTTACAATAAATCGAAGTAAATAACTTAATTTTATAGAATTAGAGTTATTGATAGTATACTTAATTATTTTTTAATCCTTATTAATCTAATAATTTTGGAATCTATCTATTTCTAAAATTTTATTCATTTCATCAATTGATCTATTAAAGGTGTAAGTTAAATAACTATTATAATTAAAGTCTTTCATTTTTGTTAATTAATATGAAAAATATTATATTTATTAATTTATTCATCAAATATAAAACAAAAGAAGGTACTAGAAAAATAAGATATCAGATGAATTTTAATTAAAAGGGATTAAAAGGATTATTAAAATTGTTAATTTTTATGGACTTTTAAAGATAAGAATTAATAGTAAATAAAGAAAATTATGAAAATTATAAAAATTATTTTTTGTAAAGTTTAAATCTATTACAATTAGAGAGGTTTGATATAAAATAATAATTATTTAATTGGTTCTAAATTTTTTAATTTTATAATGAAAGTAATAGGATTTTATGATAATTTGGATGATATAAGGATTAATTATTTTTCTTATAAAATATTAAATGAATAAAGCAAATTTATTTAAAGATACATAATTTCATAATAAATCTTCATTTAATTACAATATCTTTAATTCTAAATAATTTTGCAATGATTATATAGTTACTTCTTTAACCATATGTTATTTTAGTTTATCAATTTATATTTAAATCTCTTTATTTTTTAAAATAGAAAACTTAACATCATTAAGAAAATAATTGAGTATTTGTTATTTATTATCACTTAATTATGAACAAATATCTTCTTTGATTAGTTCGAAATCTAAATCAAACTTGAAATCTTTCATGATTTCTTCTTTATTTTCATTTATCATCTATTCAATCATTTTATTATCAAATTATAATTGTTACTTTAAATTAATATAATCATCATTTATTGCAAGATATTAATTTGAATATTTAAATGCTGTTTTAAATTCTTTGGCAATTAAGGGGAATGCTAATTATAAGATTTATTAAAATTCATAAGATTATCCTTCTTTATAATGACATTATTAAATCTTTATTAAATTATCTTAAACATTATCTATTCTTCTTGCTCTCTTAGAATTAATTACTGTCAAACTTTTGTCAACTCCAGATAATATTTAATTTTTATTGTTTTGATTATTATATTTTTCAAAGATCAAATTAGATGCTTCAATAAACTAATCAAATGATTTAAATATTCCTTCATCCAACAAACCTTTGAAAATTAATTGAAGGTCTTTGTATTTTTCATCGAAATATTTTTTTTGTTTTTCCTCTATATTTCCATCTCCCATAGTCATTTATTTATCTTTCATAATCAACCTTACCCTTTTATTGAATTACAAAATGTTAATAATGATTTCTTTAATAGATTAATCATCATTTTTGAATGTATTAATATAATCAGGTCTTTCATAAAAAGGACAATCATATCCTACAAAATGTATTGTATAATTAAGTTTTTGTGGTAATATTGTAATTTATGATTATCTATCTGTTATATTTAATATAATTCTATCAGAATTTAAATAATTATGTTAAATATTTAATTCTTTGAGTTATTTGTATTTCATTAAAATATCTAAACATAATTGAATATTTTAAGCAATACTTAATCGTATAAATTCAATTTCCTATATAATATATAAATGTGGTTACTTATAAATAAAGTAATAAACTTAATTTGATTTACATTGAATTATCAATTGTATATTCAATAATCTTTTAATACTCATTTAATTTGAGATTCTAATATCCATCACATTCTAATATT